CTATGCTTATGTTTGCGTTTGCATTGTGAATGGGCCTTTATGCGCGTCACGGAGGCCGTGTGGCGGAGATTCCAATCCTGCGTTCACGCAACAGGAAGTCATTTTGGGCCCTTGTGGAAAAAAAAATCCAAAAACTTATGTTTTTCTCACAATTGAATAGAGTTTACACTATTTTCTTTTACACATATGAATAACTTAAAGTACTGTATCACAGGGTTGTGAATGTGCAAAGAGGGCTGAATCACTCTTTCAGATATCATACTTTCTGATATGTTAATTTAAATGAAAGCGACAAAATTTCCTAAGGCCTTTGCAACTGTCGCCTTTGGGGAAGATGACCTTCACGGCGCCGATATTGTAACGGGGAGAGGGGTGACGGGAAAGGCACTGGCGCGATTGCAACAGTCCGTGATCTTGACTAGGAAGACACAGGAACAAACATAAATATTAACGACCTGAATGAAAGATTTTTGAATTGAACTTTTGTTCCACTGTGAAATTACAAAGTATCGATTATTGAAATGAACGATATAAAGAAATTGGTAGTATAAGGAAGATACTAACAAAGTTCATTTTCAAACTTAATAGGAATTAAGCTTAATGTATAATGTGCGTAAAAACAAAACAGCATTTGAAAACTTTTGGAATATCAAGAAAAGGAATGAGTGGTTGATGATTGTAACTATAATATCTCCAGAATTTTTTTCAGATTTTACATAGTACACAGAAAATTTATTCTTTTGTTAATGTGGCTCAATTTCTCATTGTAAATTTACAAAAATGAAATAAGTCGTGGATAACTACAGAAAAACAGAATACAAATATGTACATAAATTATTTACTTATATTCTGCAACCCCATAGACAGTAACGTACATCCCAGTCACGTGAGCAAGAACTGGCGAACTGTTGCATTATTTTGTGTCGCTATGTCGTGTTTATACCTGTGTCCACAGCGACATGACCATGGATTGCTGTAGTTACACTTCTATCCCTCGTTTCCACACCTGACTCCCCTTGTACCGATAACAATGACGGTGCCGTGAAGGCCATCTTCCCCAAAGGTGACGATAGGAAATTTTGTGGGTTAATTTAAAATATGTCAGAAAGTATAATTTTATAACTATCAAAACATTAACATATGATACGTGATAGTATTCCCTTTTTGTGATCTATCCATTGCTAATGAAAAAATACAAAGTTCCGTTTAAGAAATTAAAGATGAATAAATTTCTCGAAAATTCAATGTTATTCAAACAATCTCTATAGCATATTCCTTGCTCCATGATTCCGCATTAATGAAGGAAAACTGCATTTCGCTATCTTAAACATTTTGGATGTTATGAGGGAGGCCCATAGTTGGTGGGATTTTGCGGATATAATGGAAGACAAGAAATAATAGAGTATTGTGCTGAATGAGAGCTTAAGAGGAAGCTTAGGGAGGACGAAAAAAGGTGAAATAGAAAAGGAAATGTTTATTATGAAGATAGTACAAAAGAGGATAGACAAAGATTGATAGATCGATAGATAGATGCTGGCGGGTAGTGTATGACCCAGAGAATTATGTGATTGATTAAAGGATAAGGGGGTAGATAAGAGAGAGGGACAGAGGTGAAGGAGAAGGAGCTGTGAAGAGAAGAATGATTATGATGTTAAAGAGGGAATTGTGAGAAAGATGGGTTGATAAGTGATTGGTGTATAGAAAAAGAAATGGAAGATAAAAAAGGGGAGAAGAAGAAGAGGAGAAAGGAGTAGATACAGAGACGAGGACAGGTGGTGGAAGTAGAAAGATGGGTGTGGAAATGAGGAAAAAGGCGGATCCATAGGATAGGAGGGCGAGGGTTAGCTAGTGAGTGGTAAAGAGGAGGATTTCAAAGGCAATTAATTTAGTACCCAGGACAGTGACATAATGGAGAGGGAATTTAAAAGTTGAAGAGATGAAGTAAGGATGAATGAAGAAAGGTGTAGAGTGTGGTGGAATGCGGATGAATGGAGAGGTGGAGAGAGAAACAAAACAACAGAAAAGATCGACAGTAGAAAAGTAGAATTAATGGAGTGAGATATAGTTAGTACAATTAGAAATACGAATGACGACTGTGAACCAGGAAATCCAAAACGGAGGGGGGATGATTGAGCAAGAGGGGAGAAAAGAGTTCAAGGAAATAACGCGGTATCCGAATTAAGATTTGATTTTTTTATTGGGGCAAAAAACAAAGATCATGGATGTCTACTACTTCTTATTTTTCTTAAAAGTGCTATGTTGTTCCGATTCCAATTTTGTGCAAAAACTAGGATATTAATGGTGGTTCCCTGATCTTTTGGGTGATGGGGTCTTGTGGGTACTACGGCAATTCCGAATTTCTCGTTTCATCTGTCCTAAAAGCCACGGTTGTCGGTTGCAGTAAGCTTTAGAAAAAGATTTCGTAAAAGTATTGTTCTCCACTGCCCAATGTGTACGTAGTACGTGGGAACCATTACGCGTGGGGAAACCATTGATTCCTTTTCGTGTACAAGGGCTAGCGTTGCATGCGTTGTCGCGGCCACGCGACGCCGGGCACATAGGTCATGCCAGACATGCCATACAAGGCTGTCTAACATAACTAATAATCCTGACCCTGATAAGCCACATGACTAAGTAAACGTAAGGACTCTACAGAGAGTTGCGAGCGCAATACCCGTTTCTCCCTGCGAGTATGACTAAATACGACTGGTGTAATATTACATGGAAGTATGACTATGGAGTTAGTATGAGTAAAAGCCTCTTGATCAAATTCTCACTAACGGGAGAGGTGGCTCAGGGCAGCTTTCATGTAGCTTGTTGCGTGTATCTGGCAAATGTGCATTCCCGCCTGAGATAGTCAATGACTCCCATCTCGATCAGATTTTTGTCCAGTTTCCCTTATCCATTGAGCAAATGCTGAGATGGCCCTTGTTTTGCTTCTGGACGTAAATGCAGCGTCACTATGCACACGTTTTGTGGAACTCTCCTTTTGCTTGTAGTGGTAGGAGGTAAGGGCAAGTTACTATTTTGTTAGCAATGCGGAAAATAAAATCTGCAGTTCGTTTACCGTTGCACAAACGTTTTCTGTAACTCGGAAATGAAAATGTCTAGTTTTTCAAATGTCGCAAATCTCGCGCTCGTTTAAAATTTTATTTTTATTTATTTATTTATTGTATATAATGCACGCTGTAGGCGGGAAAAGGCCTGGAATCTCAGACAATGTTGGTCTGGGTCGAGTGGCAACAAACATTTCTACCATTACCGCTCTGGCTGTAACGCACTAGCAACAATGGAGTTTCCACTTGTTCCTGCCGCCGATTCCGAAGTTCGTGCTGTTATTCGTTTTCTTAAGGGAAAAAATATGTCATCACCCATATTCTCCTGTACTTACACCACCAAGTCGACTTTCATCTTCTTCAGAATCTTAAGGCAACTTCTCGAGGGAAGACTGTTCGCAATTGAGAATGACTTGAAAGAAGTGGGCGATGGCTTGCCAGTTTGACGATTGAGTTGGTTAACCCTAGGTTAAAAAACTGTCACAGTACCAAAAATGTTTTGAATTGCAATGGAATTATGTACAAAAAATAGTTAAAGTATGTAATATTCAAAATATAACCTCTTCAAATTTTAAGACTAAAAGTCGAAGACAAAAGACGATGACGAAAGACGCTGACGTAGTACACGAGAGTTCAAGATGAAAGTCGAAAGATCAAAACGAAGACCAAGTTGAAACAGATGCAAATGCAGAAAAACTTAAACAAAATACTTTCTTTAAGTTTAATATTCTGGACACCAACAATTATATTTTGTTGACAATTACAACACTTTGGTAGTTTGAGATACTTCCACTTTACACTTTGACATTAGAGAAATGTGTAGGTACTTACTTTTTTATTCAAAATTTGCAGCCTTTTTTAAAAGGTTCAAGAAACATTGGTTTTCATGCATTTTTCCATTTTTTTAAAAGGTTTCTTTTTCTACTTTTTATTGGTAGATATTGAATTTTCACTGAACTGTAAACTTTCTTTCAGATCATCATAATCTGTACTCAGTGAGGTATCTGACTGAGACTGAAAACAAAGAACAACATTGAACCCCGACTTTTTCTTTCCTAAACATCTACATACAATTATGCTTTGGCTTGTGTGCAAGAGCAAACTGCTGAACTCTCATATATATCTCTAGTCCTCAAAAAGCAATGTAGAGAAGCAAAATTGAAATCTCCATGTAAAGAAAGAAACAGTGATTCTCAAAAAAAATTTAATGTTATAAGAGCTCGTCATGGCTTCTAACTATTCCATTTAGAAAATAAAATGTCCATTTTAAAATAAACATCAATCAACCTTCAACTTCTTCCCAATACCATTCTGTCATTTCAAAAAGTTTGTTGGAGTACTGTTTTTTAAGACAAAGTATTTTTAATTGTAGGGTGTATCTTACTCCATGAATCTATGAAGTGTATAATTTTATTTTTAATTTAATTAAATAACTTATGAAAATGTTTTTGTTCTTTGTTATTGAAGTAATTTTCTGCCTTTGTAATATCAATAGACTGAATGAAGGCACTGGCTTACAGGACAGGAAGGTACTTCAATCAAAAGTGTTATCCGCAGGATAACTAATACATGAAATTGAAATTCTGAAGTTTACTTTTAGGGTTTAAATCATCTGTTGCTTCTGTATCTACTGTCTTCCTTCAAGAAATGTTTGGTTTATTTAAAAAAAAAATTTTTTTGGAATGCTGCACCCTCTTACCTCATGGACCTTATCTCCCCATAGCCACAGGGGCTTTGATCACATGTCTTTGTCACTGAAAAATGATAAATATACCAATGTTAATACAGAATACCTCTCATACAATTCATCCTTCCAAAGCAAGCATTGGTAAGCAAGTACAGAATTGATATGATTCTTTCCTTCCTCATTACGAAATGAAGACTTGTGTGATTGCCTGGAACACGTGGTGGGATGCTTTAGCCCGCTACATCACAAACATAGGTCTGGTTATCTGGAGGTGGAAATTATTGTAGTTGAAATAAGTTTTAAGCGGATTGTTAGATAAATATATTTATATTGTACAATTTGGTATCACACAACACACTTCCTGCTGTTAAGGAAGACCATGATTGAGATCTATATCCTTAATTAGCAAATTACAAAATCACATCAAAAAATATAAAATAGTAGCTTAAAATAAATATATTCTCAAACTTTCTACTTGCATTCCTGTGCAGCAACGGTTTAGCATTCTACAAACTTAAGGCCTTTATATATCCATTTCCCAATGGACTAAGGCAACCTGATTTCTGTCCATGAATATACAAATAACTTTCATATAAACTGCACACTATATCACAAAGTAAACAATTTCCATAATCATCTGATCTTTGGAAATTATGCAATGGATGTAATACTGAATGGAATTTTATAAGTAATATACACTCTTAATCCCTCTCTGCTCTTCACAACAGCTTTTCAAATTACTGGAATTCATGTAACACAGTTCTTAATACACAGAAGTCTCTGCATCACTTTCACAATTACCAGTACCCTGTTTTATACAAGGAGTTTAGATACACAAAGTATGTTTGTGTCTTCCATCTGCAGCACAAGACAAGCACACTGTAACAACTCTCCCCAAAAGAAGCACGTACACATTTCAGCAAGCATTCTAAATCAAATCATTTCCGATTTTTGAGCCTTAGTAAAAGTCAAAAAGACCTGGAAAAGAAACAACAAAATAAATTTATGTTATCATTTTATTTATGTTTATATTTGATTGTTTTTTCAAGTTTTCAGTTTGGTAAAACTTAAAAAGTACCTGTTCAAGGCTAGTCTGGCCAAGAGAGTAATCTTCAATGTTTAGATCATGTTTTGCTCTTTCCATCATTCCAAACATTTGAGACCATGTAAATGTTGAGCTGGGAATGTAATAAGTCAAAAATCCCATGTATTCTTCTCTCAATATAGATCCTGAAAATGAAAACGATTTTGTATATGCAACAGAAAATTGTCATATTTATACTATGCTTTGTGACAAAAAAATCGTGCAGCTCGTTGCCATGCCCATTCCACTAATTATATTTCAAATTGCAGAATCTACATAACTGAATGGTTTGATATCATTTTTGCAATAATTAATTGAATCATTCATTCTCACATTTACAATTTATTCCATACTTGTCAAATTTTGTCTAAGTGGGTTATCATGAGTTCACACAACTTATTAATGCTTTCAGTTGACACACCTTTATTTACTAAGTTTTATGTTCAAAAACTATAAATAGTCTTAACTTTCATCAACTGTACATTCTGTCAAATCATAACACACATTTCCTTATATATAACTGAGCAATGAAGTTATGAAAACGTATTATCGATTCCCAAAACCAATGTCATGAACTCTAACTAATAATTGGGCAAGGTTTTTCAATCAATCCATTGATCCATTCATTTATTTATTTTCATCAAAAAACAGTAGAAGCTGTATGTGACATAAGGGGAAGAAGTATAATCTGCACATGTTTTCTGAAGCTCCGAAATTTCTTCTCTACTCTCTTAGTTTATAGTCACAAGATTACATAAACGAATGATTGATAAAAGTACCATCAAAGCAAGGTTAGCAATATTTGAAAACTAGAATTTCCCAAAACTTATTTGCACCAGTAAATGAACTACAGATATGATTTATTAACATTTTCAACCTAAACCTCCAGCTCTACTGCTCCCACAACTAGTGCAAAGAGCACTCAACAAAACATGCGCATAGCGAAGCTAAATTTAATTCCAGAAGCAAAACAAGGAGCCATTTCAGCTTCCACTCACCAGATCAGTGAAACTGGATGAAAAACCTAATCAAGATGGGGGTCTTTGAACTTGAAGCTGAACACAACTTATTACAGATATATTTGGATTTTCAAAATTATACAGCACAAAAAGTAAGTAATTCATTAAATATAATTGTTAAAATAAATATTACTTTACTTTTTGGTCAGTAGAGTCTCATTATATAAAAATAGTTATGCAGCAGAAAATCTTGGAACTTAAGCTTATGTATTGATTTTAATTGCTTAATGTCTTCTGGTAATGTGTTGTAAAGCAACATATATGCATTAAATGTGAATTTCTTGTAGGTAGCTGTTCATACTGACCCTTAATGAATATGATTTTTATGATGTGTTGTAATTAAATTGTCAGTATTATATGAAAGTATGTTCCCACCCTTAAGGAAGCCAGTTTTGACAAAAACTACAGATTTTTAAATAAATAGGCATGGCAATGGTAAGATTCAAAAAATGAAAAGAGGCGAACAGAAATTACATGGATGGCACTTGCTTATTATTCAATTTGTTTATGCATTCCTTGTCTGGGTACTATCGGATGTGCATCCACAGAATATTAAGCCTTATCGCAAATGGGAATGTACATTTTCAAAATACACATAGTAGGCTTCACGAAGACTGAGTGAATTTGAAAGAACTATGAATGTGTAACATAATAACTTAATTTGGAGTGTAATTCATTTATAAGGGTATTCCATTTGCATGAATTTGCATTCCATTTGATTGAACTGAGAAACTCAGAAATTTAGATTCCTTAAGGTAATTTTAAAAGCAAAATGTTACAGGCAATGATGTCAAAAAAATTTCAGAGTTTTAAAAATTTCCCAATAGGTGCATCATTTGGATCTATTGATGAAGCCACATCTTTAAGAAAAGAAAAAAATTGACATTTTCATAAATTTGGATTTTATAAATTCATGTTGGGAGTCTGAAAATGCTTTTTTTCTGAGAAAAGTTTCTATTTGTGTACAGAAAAGTCTTTCCAATACTTTCAAGACTGACAAAAGAGAAGTTGCCCTATAATTTTGAATTTCATTTTTGTGTCTTTTTAAAAGAAATGGGTTAATTTGTGAACATTTAAATGCAGTTATATAATTATATTTTATACATAACAGTAAATATTGTAAACAAAAACAGTAACAAATTTGGGCAACATTTTAATTATGTAATATCTTTAAAAAGTTTAAATTCACTTCATTATCTTAGCTTAAAGGTCAATTAATAAAATGGTTTACAATTACAGCCCATGGGTAAAATAACGATATCTTCTGATTTAATGCCTACTTTATCTTTGCTGCATATTAGTACCATGTAAAATTGTTGTTTACCTGGAAAGGAGTGTTTAATGAAATTTTTAACTGGATTTATATCTTGAGTTAAAGAGCTCATTGATGTAATTGAGAGAGTTCTTGAAGTAACAGACAAAGGTCGAGTACCAATCACTTTAATGATGAGGGTGTATCCTTCTGCAAATTTACTTTTCAAATGTTGTGTGGACCCAAGGCACTTGAAATTTCCATTTACCATTATGGCCAATCTTGTACATAGAGCTTCACATTCTTCCATGCTGAAAAATTATGTGAACATAGATTTGGAGGTACATCAATAGCATTTATGTAACATATGCAATTAAAACAAAAAAGTATAACTGAAAAAATTTAAATTATACACTTTTATTTATACATTTCCATTTTATTAAGAGAATTATCTGGAATAGACGTTTTCATACAAATTATGAGAACAACACTTCTTTTTTTCTTTTTTTATTTTTTTCTTTTTTTTCTTTTTTAATTTTTTTTTAAACTTGATTGGCCACATTGGACCACTTGAGTCGTTCCACTTCACTTTTTGTTTGGACGACTGTTGAAGGTATCACCTTGAGGAGAGGATAAATCCTCGAGTTACAATTCTGAATGTTATTCAGAAAGGTGATAATGAGAGATGGAGGATGATGGATGATAGGGGGTGAAAGGACGAACACAATACAACCATGCCCGAGGCGGGACTCGAACCCGCGATCTTTCGGTACGAGATCGCTACGTCACTACTGCCTTAGCGATCTCGGCCACCGGATCGGCACAACACTTTTATTACAATATCTTAAATTCTTTTCCATTATATTTTATAGAAGTTTATAATTATCTTCCAAGTAGAGATGTACATCTCCATTAAATGATTAAAAACTATTCCACTTCAATGAGCATATAGGCATCAGTTAAACTAGGTCATGAAAAAGTGCCTTAGAAAAGAGTACAGATAACACTTGTTTCAAATTTATTTAAATGGAAAAGGTTGATTAAATTGTGCACACAAAGTTAAAACTAAAGTGGATATGACTTTTTTATTTGAAAAGCATAATATTGGAAGATTAAATGTTTATTTGTTCACATTTGTTGAAAGATAATCAAAGATGTTCTTTAGAGGGGCACTCAGAGAAAACGAGGGCTACGGTCAGTTTTTTCTTAGGTCAGTGGATACATGGGAGGGGGGTCCTGTTGTACAGAATTATTCTCCATGTCACAGAAATAACTTATAATAGTTTATCTGAATTTTTATTTAATGAAACGAAAACAAAAATTGGGGCTCCAATTAAGTTGAGGTCTGGGGTAAGTTGCCCCAGCTGACTCTCCTCCTGAGCATGGGGCAATAACTCCAAATATGTTGACAATGGCAATATTTTTTATGGCAATTATCATCATCATCATCATCATCATCATCATCAATTCTTGCAATATATATTGATTCTCTGTTTCACTCTTCTCATGTCAAAAACCTCAAAACTTAAAAGTGGCAAGTTTACATCATAACTCTAAAGATTGAACCATTTAGCTGACAAATCAATTCATGCAAAGAAAAAAATGTCTACTTTTATGCAATATCCTCTCAGACTGATAAATGGAAAACCATTGAGCTAACAGGAAATGACATTGCGAAAATCATAACACATATCCCATTTATGTGTTTACAGGGGGGAGGCAAAAACCAACTAGCAGAAAGAACTAAAAGAACTCCATGGTTTGGTGAAGGAGAATAAAATAATACCCTAGTTAACATATTTAATGCTTATGGATGGTTCAGGGATTCCAGAACAGATCTGTTTATAAGCAGTTAATTTGTTTGTTGACATCAATTTGAGCTGCGCTTGTACTCAGAGCTAATGTTAGCAAGTGAAACAGATATATTCTCTCCCATTGTAACAAATGTGAATAAATTTGCACACTTCTGCAAGAAATTAGGAAATGATAACATGTATTTGCAAGCAGCATGGTGTCTTTCTCAAATTTTAAATACAAATTGATCCTTTTCTACATGTGACCAATTTTATGATGAGCCTCTGGCCTTCATCCTACATAATTGACATAAAATATTCTCATGTCTGTCCAATGCATTTTTTTGCTAAAACACTTTATATATTGATTAAAATGTGCCATTATCATTTAAACTTTGAAACAGAAACTTCTTTGCTGCCAGTAAGTTCTTGGTTGTCTTGGAGACACCATGTCCTAGGCACAGGTGCCAGAGCAGAGTCACAGGGACCAGGCACCTGTTCTTAGGACACTGTGTCCCCCGGACAGCCCTGACTTCGGCCAGGGAAGCCTATGCTCTTGTTGCTGCCACTAATTTTTTCTTTGGTTCCCTAATTTCACAATGTTGGTGCTGATTTATTATGACAAGAGGTATGATATGCAAAATCTCTGCCCAAAACCACAATAAGGAAGCAAGAAAAGCCTTGCAACACAGTCGAGGCTCAAAGGTAGCAAGCCTGTATAAAGTTACAATGGACACCCTGAGCTTTGATAGAAATCTAAACAAAGTACTGCACATAACCAGATCTCTCCAACAATACCACAAGCTTCATTGAAATTAAAGAGACTTTTTAACTTCATATTTCACATTCAAATTAATTATTTACATTATTAATTATTTTATTGCGAAAGAAACACAATTTTGGCGTTACCTGTGAGATGTGAGGATAATGCTCTTGCCTCTGTCCCGAACTTTGCAAATGACATTCCACAGATGTCGCTTAGCGACAGGATCCATCCCCGTTGTTGGCTCATCAAGAAATACCACAGGTGGATCCCCAACTAAAGCAACTGCAGTACTGAGTTTGCGTTTGTTACCTCCACTGCAAAAATATGTTCATTACACATCTAAATAGGTAAGTTGAAGAATTGCTTAATGATGAAAATAGTATAAATATTTTATTAACAACTACAATATTCTTTCTTGTTGTTTTACAAATAATTGAAATGAAACGTATTAAAAAAGAAGACAATTGATTTAAGAAAATTATTAGATTGCTATCTAACTTTCATTTGTGGTCTATGTCAATGACAAATGCTCCTAGGGTCAGTTTAATATAGTAACGTAAATAATGTTTCATGCTCAGTGTATAAAGTGCTAAAGTATATAAAAAAAATTATATATACAATGGATATTGAATAGTCTTAAATATTTAAACATATCATAAAAGAAGAATAAGGTGCCTGTGGTATACTATTTACTAGTAAAATTAAAAAAAAATCTCAATTTACAAGAGAGGTTTTAATATATTTTATAAACAAAGATCACCTGTATTCCTTGACTTTTTTATCAATGTGTTTAGTAAAGAGCAGTTCATCAGCTAGTTCATCTACAATTCTTGGTATCTGATATCCAGGAATTCCTCTCAATAAACAGAACATGTGCAATGTCTCTCGACCAGTCATTTCCTCGATAAGAGCATCAAACTGAGGGCAGTAGCCAATCAACTGATGAACCTGAAATAAAAAATAAAATCTTCAAGGAACATCTCTACAAACCATCCTGAAGAGTGGACTCAGAGAAAAAATACTGATGTTTTAACTTTAACTTTAAATTATTTTTTACTAGCTTAGAGTGGTACCTCTGACAGGTATGTTCCTGGTAAAACTTTTTATTTGTGCCAAGCAAGTGTGGATTAAAAATCCAGTTTTAAACATAATTCAGTTGACTGAATTATGAATTCTCAGGTTCAAAAAATTAACATGAAACATTTTAAAAATCAATCTAAATCAAATGAAATACTTTTTTTATATGTTCACATTTCATTATCATCAATCTGATGAATCCATCAAAAACAATTCAGGTTATGCTGAAAAGGTAGTACAGAATTACACAGGGTTCCACCTCTGCAGGAGTCTTAACCCCCCCCCCCTCCAAAAAAAGCATGTTTTTTATTACCCTTAAGAATGATTTGGAAGAATCCAAGACATATGGATAGACACATGCAGTTTACCTAATTACTATATGTAGAATGTTTTTCAAATTCTGCAAGCTATTTTAAAACTAATAAAAATAAAATATTCTTGCATGCATATGCATACACACTTGCACTTTTGTTCAAACAAGAACACATACAGGCAGATCCAAAAGTCTCAGGCAACAAGAGGTAACAATTTTTGAAATACTATAAATTACAATTTACAATCTACCATATATTTTTGTTTTTTTATTTCTCTTCCGAGTTTTTCTCACCATCTACATCATATCTTTAACAGCAACATATTAATTGCTGAAGTGTTATTTAAATCAATGACGTGCATCAATAGTTTCAACTGTTTAGCCATTTGAATGGATTCAAACTATTACATAGAAATCTTTTCTAAAGAAACAGTAATAATAATCTTTTATTAAGTATACAAATTTCCATTCAATCTCAAAATAGATTATGATAATTTATAATAAATTTTGAAAGATTAAATGGAATTCTTGAAATCCAAAATATTCAATTAGACGTCTCTTTTTTTCAAGGACTTATCACTTTCTTCAGCATTCCTTTCTGAAAATTAAAGATAATTTCAATAAAGCTATGACATCTCACCTTTTTCATGTGGTACTTAATACTTAAACCATTCAAGAAAGCGTCTCCTTCAGATATTTTTTCATCGCCCGTCATCATCTTGAATGTAGTAGTTTTTCCCGCACCATTGACTCCCAAAAGTCCAAAGCACTCTCCTCTCTTTACTCCAATGCTGATGTTATCCACAGCCAAAAAACTGCCATAATATTTTGTCACACCTCTGTAAAAACAATATTGTCACCTTTGCTGAGGTCAACCTACATATTATGTGCTTTATATATAGGTCATTCCACATCAAACTGCTCACATTTAAGCAAAATTTGACCTTGATGCCAAAGATTAAATTTTTTTCTGTGAAGAGTAAAAACAAAAATACGAAACAAGTGTTTTTCATTTTTTCCCAAATATAATTTTTCAACATTATTTTAATTTTCACAATTTTGGAAAAAATGCTCATATTGCTACAGTTAATCACTTTTAACTCTTGTGGTAGTTGTGACAGAAATTTAATATTTTGCAACATTAAAGAACAAAATATAGTCTTTTATTTGATGTATGTATCGAATTCATTAAATGTTTTAAAAATCATTTCTTGACTTACTTCATTTTTATTCTTTAATTTCTCCTAATAATCAATAGTTTAAAATTTGAAAAAACATCACTGTAATCTCTGAAAAGTTTTACATAAGTCTGGTAAATTACATAGTAGCATACCAAGGTGATTCTGAGAAATTAAATACAATTGAAAGGTCTACTTGCTGTATTGCTGTAGCGTCTGATAGTGTCACCTCTCAAACACATGTCAATCTGTATTAAGATGTTTACCATCAATACACTTTTACCGAGAAATAAACAGTAGTATTCCTTCACATCTTTCATAGCAAATTCAATTCAAATTGAAAAGTGTCAAATTAATTCAATTTAGTATTAAACGGATGGAATATTTATAAAAATAAGAGTATGTGATACAATTAATTAAATTTATATTTCTTTTATTCACTTTACAGAGAATATCATTAATTTATGTTCTTTTCTTAAAGAAATGAATCAGTATATTCTCTGTACTACTTTTTTCTTCTTTTTTTCTTTCTTTTTGTATCATTGATGCAATAGTCCTCTTTCGAAATATTCAGCGTTGCTAAAAATATAAAGGTAATATTCTTCACATTACCATCAGCCCACTTAAACAACTTCCTGTGTAAATTAATACTTTCCTGTCAGAATTGAAAGCTATATTTTATTAAAAATATATTACAGTAGTTCTGAGAAAGAAGACTCCTGTTTCTGGCAGACCCCAGCAGTATCAGTTGTTTATAAATAAACTTAATAGTCGCATTTCATCAGAATCGCATTTCATCATTCGCATTCGCATCAGTCGCATTTCATCATTCGTTGGAGACTGTATGTGTGTTTCTGCAATTAATGACATAAGTATCACACTTGCTTTATGTTTGGACAACATAATGCATTGTGTCATTGACGCCCTATAGTTCGAGCAGCGAGTCCGATGGACAGTATGCTTCCTTGTGCTGCCTACATATGCCGGTGAACAAACTATTTTTTAAATGTTATTTATGTGTGTCCCACTTTTAAATATGCAGATCAATACAAAATTAGTGCATAAATACACAAGTGTTTTTTACAATTAATATGTGTCAACCTAATGCATTTCAAATATTGAAATACATTTTAAAGATTTAAATAATATGCTCACAAAAATTATATATATGTACATCTTCTTATCTTAAATTTAAGTGAAATTTTATTTTTCTGAAGGAAATAGTATTTGCGCGATAAAATTTTAAACATTAGCCTGCGCATGAATGTTTGGAAAAGTAATTGGCAATATTTCTCAACGGGGTGGGATTAGAAAAAAATAAAAGAAAAAATACATGACACCTTTTTTCAACCCTAGAACTTATAAAAATAGTTTCAAGTTGCTAAAAAACAGTTTCGTTTTGTGAGTGAGCGATTTGACATGGAATGACTCATATGTTCATATTTGCAAACTATTTGTGATCCTACAAAAAAATATTTGTAAACATACCTAAGAACAAGGCTGAACTCATTATTGAGTTCCGTAACATTTGATGTCCTGATTCTCTCCTTCTCTGCCATTACATCAGAATCTTCAAGATCTGCTTGTGCACTTGGTGGCAAAATGGGCAGTGATGTCAATGAAGGTGTGTCACTTGACTGCACTATATAAATTGAAATCAGTTATTTATACATCTATTACATATCACATATGTAATATATATATTCAGTGAAGTGTAATATTTGTCAAATATTGCATTATCTTCAAGCTTACCAGCAACAACCTTAGGCTGATGTCTCCGGCGAGTAGGAAACATGAGTTCAAATATATGAAACTCTACCAAAAGGAGCAGGATATTGAGAATACATCCCATTAATAAGAAAAATACTATGTTTCTGCCTATTCCTGGTAATTTCCATCGAAAATAGTTTTCTGAGAATTCTACACAACCAGTATCCGGACATTTTCCTGCATTCATTAATATTAATTATTTCACTTTTTAGGTCATTCAAAGATAAAATAAATTATGAATATTATGAATTTAATAAATTGTGATTAATTATGTAGGAAACTTATTACACCATGACATGCATACCTGGACAACAAACACTTTGTTCAACAACAGAACAATCTGGACCAAAATCTTTGCAAATTCTTATTGATGCATAGTTAGTGTATACATAGCGAATGGCATCTGCTAAACAATAATGAGGCACAACAAGAAGAATCCAGTCAAGAATGTCCGCAACATCTTTCAGATCAAGATCTGGGATCTGCAGAATCGTCACCACCATAAATGCTGCAATTCCTGTTTTTTAATAATAGTATTAATATTTTGAATGTAGAACATCCACAAAAACAATTTAAATTATTAGATAAGCAAATTAAATGAATGGCTTTTTGCTCTTTTAAAAATTGAATTAAAATTAGTACAGACAGCAATTATTTATAAAAATTCTAAAATAATAAGAAACTAAGTGTGTCTGGCAAAGGAAATGAACATTCAAGTATTCATTAAGTACCTACCAGAGAATGGTGATGAAAATTATAAATTTTCACTAATATTATGCTAAAGGTATTATTATCAGAATTTCTCAGTAATTATTACATTTTCATTTTATCTTGGTTTCATATCATTATAAATGCACACCACTTTCTCCAGTCTACATTTCAGAGAATCTTTCTTCAGAATCATCATTAAATGTGTTTGCATATCTGAAATAATATATTTACTCCCTAGTATACTCCACTATATAACATTGAATTTTGCCAAAATTAGCAAGAATAGTCTCATGTCTGATAGAATTTATATTTTTCTGCCAAGCAATTCAGAAACTATTCCTCATCGTTATTCAGTCAGAACTTCTATTTCTTAATTTAGAATACAGGACTTAAACAAAGGGTCCATTAGTCAGATCATCATACAGGATGAATTGAAGTGGAGGCCTGTTAAAAAAAGTATTTCTGGGGAGTTCATACATTCTTTCTCCTTTGTCATATTACTTTTAAACTACAATTTTTTGGGGCTGATTTGACAATATGTCCTTGGTTCAGTTTATAGAACATTAATCCACACAAGTATATATAAAAAATTATCATTTTTTTTGTGAAGACTAATTTCTGCATTCTTAATTGGTCTTAATGACCAATTAATTTTATATTCTTATTTGGTTCAGGCAGTTTTTCTTTGTTGAATGTTAAAAAAACAAAGAAAATGATGAGAAATGGCATACATTAGGAAATAAAAAATGTTTTTATGAATCACATTTTAAAATATGTTAATTAAAATGCAATTATTAAAAAATAAATTACTGCAATTGATAAAAATTATTCTGTAAGTGACATCCAAGATTGAAAAAGAAAAAAATAAATCTGATACTCTATTGGGAAAAAAAAAAAAAATTGAATTCATTTCAAGTTCACAGAAAGAAGTCTTTACAAAAAAGTAATGGTTCACAGAGGCATTGATTGGATTGATGAGTGAATTGGGTAACACCACAGAGCTTTCTATCTCCCAGTGTTCAGTGTTGAGAAATAGATTTTCTGTATTTCATGTAGTGATCCACCAGTATTAGACTGTTCTCTATGAAATGTTATTAGAACATAATATTGTAATGCTATCAATTAGCATTAGCATTTATAATACGTTAAAATCTAGGCTTAATTATATATATTGTACATTTTCTTCAATATCCATCCAGTAGAAAATAATTCCTGATTTGTTTTGATTGATTAATCTTTTAATATGTTACATCTGTTTATCATTTTAAATTAATTAAATTACGTGCTTAGTTTCATGTGTAATAATGTTTGTGCTACCATCTTCTGTTGGCAGTAACTAAATAAAAGTAAGCAGTTTACCTGCAAAAATATTGAACATTGTCATTCGAGTGTAGCCACTTGCTGGAATGGTGAATAAATAAGAGGCCAAATACATCAAAGGTATCATTGCCCAGCCAAAAAACACCAAAATTACAAATATACGACCTGCAAAAAAGATAATTAAATTCATTGTTATGTGAAAAAATCATTATTGAATACACAATGTAAGATAAAACACAGATAATGGATATCAAAAGTGCACTCGTGAAGTTAAATTTCCTGACCTAACTCTTCAGTTGTGGCAAATCCATCCTCCTGAAATCCAGCCAATGTGATAATCACACCCAAAGATGGGAGTAAAAAAGAAAGTCCATCACAAGTTATGTTTACTATCCAAAATACAAGAACATCCACTCCAGATACAAATTGCAAGTGCTTGGCCTTGCTCATACGTTCCTTAATAGGAAACATAATGTAGTACGCTGCGACAAAAGCCATGCTAAATCCAATGTTGAAGGCAATTTGAAAACCCATGTTATTTCCATTCATAAGCATTATTGCCTGTAAGCCAGTAAAAGTTTGCTTTCCATTAGTCACAGATCATAAATCAACAATAATACATCTACTCACATGTTTTTACATCTTCTTGGTGTTAAATAAAAATTAAACAACTATTTTTACATATAGGCATAAAATTTGATATTTTTTTAGTGAAGTGGAATGTGGTTATTGTGAAAGAATATTGAATTAGTCAACTTTTCTGTCAATTTCTCGACATTTATTCCAACAGAAGTGTTTGGGAGTAAATACCTAATAGTATCAGACATATTGGATACCTGAATGCCTCAATTTATAGTGCTTTATAGCAGTACAACCAATTTCAAGAACCGAGAAGTATAGTTAGTTAACATTATTTTCATGCAACACCCTTCTACAAACTTGTCGATTGAATATAAATTTTTAATAATATAGAAAAAGTAAGAAAATCTTGGACTTAAAACGCTAGTTTGCTAGTAAAGCAATTATCATTTTATAAACATAAAAATAAAAGTAAACTTTGGCACAAAATAAAACACAATTTCAAAGTCTGATAAATAGCATTCTATTCATTTTAATATAATAAACACATGAATAAAAAGGTTATTTGTCTTATTATAAAAAAAATATGTGATTAATATAAAATTGTACCTGTGATTCAGATGTGTACGGCAATGGGGAATTGACAAGTGTTATTGACATGTTGATCATCTTGAGAATTGCATTATTGAGCAAGTTGAGAGTAAGAGGCACAGAATGGTATGGTAAATCATTAAACCAGCCAGTGATGTATGGAGTAGAATTTACTACATCAAATGATGCTCCCACAACGAAACTGTGCCTTGTTCGGGACACATCTTTCCGATACTGTGAACATATCACACTCAAAAAAATAATAATTTTACATAACAATTTATCTGAATATAATTACAGTTATAGAAACAGTTCAAATATTCCTTCTCCAAAAGAATGAAGATATGTTTCAATACTATTATAAATAATAATTTTCCACATTAGATAGCAAGAAATTCATATAAATAATTATTGTGGCTTTTACACAGGAATATATCTGTCCATACACAGTTTTTGATAAAATAAACTTCCTCCTGTAAGTATCTTTATTAAAACTCAATGCCATTAATAATTAATGTAGCTAAAATATGAAAAATTATATCACAACAAAAATTTGATAAAGCAAACTCATGAATAAAACTAATCTGCATTCTTATGTATAAAGCATGTCACTCAGAATTTTCTTTTTGCCAAAAACAAATATTATTTAGGTCTTCAACAATTAACAACATAATCACATTCTAGACATTCAGAAAACAGAACAGAAACAAAGCTGCACATTCATTTAGAAAATTAGTCTTTTGGTGAAATCCTCTGCAAAGTTATCCTATCCTCAGGCCATTGTGGTTTAAAAAGAATCTAAAATCAGTGAAAAATAAACATGTTCACTAATGCCATTTCATAATCAAATTCATTTTCACAATGGATCACTTTAGTTGACATAGACATGCATAATAATGATCATTATTGTGGAGTAACTGCAATAAATTATGATTTATTGCAGTTACTTTAATTATTTATTTATTGCAGTTGCTTTAATTATATATTAATAATTGAGACACCGTAAGAACTTGACAGAATATATCCACAAAAGATATGGGGATAGTTGGGGCACAACAAAATAACAGCGTAGTAAAAGCAAACAATCTGTGAATTGAATTAAGAAGATTTAAAAGATGTTAAGAAATTCTCACCTGATCTAAAATGTATTCCTCAAACATTCCTGTGGTATTTTCTTTGCCTTCTAGTACTGTTGGGCAAAATCCATTATCTTCAATTACATTCTTGTATTTTTGAGATAAGTATTTGGAGATAAAATGAGCAATGCCCTTATTATCATTATTCAGCATTGACAGAGTAGTATTTACTTCACTGTAGCTCTGAAAGGGAATCAGAACATTTGATGTAGTGGTAAATAACTGCAGGAATGAAGTTTCATTTTTCAAGTAATCCAACATATTCCAAAAAGATGCATTTGAAGCACCAAGAGGCCAAGAGAATAAGTGATACTTTTCCTTAAGTTTAAGTTGTATTAAAAGTTTAGCTATACTATAAATTTTGGCTGTATGTTGTATGTAATTGTGGATTAATTTGCCATCGTTCAACTTTACAACTCAGCCTCAGACCAGTCTTCACTTACGGAGTATTTTGCGCACTTCAAGTATACATTTGTGCAGAGAGGGGGAAAAAAAAGGGAAAAGGGTGCTACTGCGTCACGGGGCCTCTCGTCGAGGAGCTGACCTGGAGGTCGATGTCGCGCGGGGGCAGGTCGCGCATGGCCTGCCAGGTGCGCGCGATGAGGATGGCGACGGACAGGAAGAAGACCGGCAGCACGCACTGCACCAGGAACAGCACCCAGCCGCGCGACAGGGCCAGCGCCTTCTTCATGAGCATCGCGTGCACCTGGTGGCGCTTCAGCGCCGGCCCCGTCAGCAGCACCGGCCGCTGGCTCTCGGCCTCCGCCGCCTTCACTCGCACTGCGCGCGGCCCGCGGCCCTTCGTTACAGGGGTGTGACATCGACATCGACGTCATCGTCAACATCGTCATCGACATCGACGTCATCGACATCGACGTCATCGTCAGCGTCGTCATCATCAGCGTCGTCATCATCAACGTCGTCATCGTCAACGTCGTCATCGTCAACGTCGTCATCGTCAACGTCGTCATCGTCAACGTCGTCATCCGTCAAGCTGTTGTCATCGTCAACGTCGTCATCGTCAGTCAGTATCACGTCGTCATCGGCTCAACCGTTCGTCATCGTCTAACGTTCGTCGTCATCGTCACTCGTCTCATCTCATGTCATCGTCAACGTGTTATTCGTCAATGTTTGTCATCTGTCATTGTTCGTCTATCGTTCACACGTCTGTCATCGTCACGTTCGTCATCGTCAACGTTTCGTCACGTCGTCATCGTCAACGTCGTCATTCACGTTCAAACAGTCGTCATCGTCACGTCGTCATCGTCAACGTCGTCATCGTCAACGTTCGTCAACGCGTCACGTCGTCAATCGTCAACGTCGGTCATCGGTCAACGTCGTCATCGTCAACGTCGTCATCGTCAACGTCGTCATCTCGTCAACATCGTCATCGTCAACGTCCGTCATCGTCACGTCGTCAATCGTCAACGTCGTATCGTCACGTCGTCATCAAGTCAACGTCGTCATCGTCAACGTCGTCATCGTCACGTCGTCATCGTCAACGTCGTCACATCGGTGCAACCAATCATCATCGTCAACGTCGTCATCGTCACGTGTCATCGTCAAATCTATCGTCAACATCGTCACGACATCGTCATCGTCAACGGACGTCGTCAAACGATGTCGTTTCATCGGACAACGAATCGACATCGACAACGAATCGTCATCGCATCGGACTAAGAATCGTCATCGACATCGACAACGAATCGTCATCGACATCGACAACGAAACATCCGTGTTCAAAATACATCATTCAAAAAACATCGAGGTTTTTCAAGTAGCTTTAAGTATCTCTAATCTTAAATTTGTGCGCGAACTGAATATGATTTAACAGTAGCGCGTACACATATTTACAATTAAATGAATTTGAAAAACAAAGTTAAAAACCGCTCTGGCAAGTGCGAAATACATTGTGAAGAAAGAAAAAAAATATTAGGGCATATAAATCATCTCGATAACGGAAATTAGTCTGCGCGAAGGTACACAAATCGTGTTACTTGGTTCGAACACAAACACAGTGGTACCATCGGTTACTATGCGTATTTTAATTTTTACAAATTTGTGATTATGGGCATTTTTCCCTTACTAAAACATATATCGATTCAAACATCGATGTTTAAAAAAAATAGGCGGTTTCAATACATCGAAGTTTATTTATAGAAATAATCGATGTTTGAAAATCATCGACACACCGATGTCGCATTCTACTTCGTTAATTTTCCCCGAACTGTAATATTATAATATCGACTTAAAAGCGGCCCCACATTCGGTATTCGGCGAGTAGCAAGCGATTCTCGGCCGAATCCTCTGAGTAACGTGGATGGGCAGGGTGTTCGTACTTGACAGCGACGAACGTTCGGCTGCTCGTTTCTACCGTTGACGCTGCCGGTCATTCAGAGACGCAAAAAAATCACATATTCGTATCAGCTGCTCGGCGCTCGGCAAATGCTGATGAACCGCTTTTACACAAACGAAGAGAAGGAAGAGCACTCTTAATGGCAGGAACAATCGAAATAAACGAGTGGAGCTAAAAGTGGAATATGATTAGCAACTTCTTTCAAGAAATAATGTCTTGTTTTTGAGTTTTTTCTTACAAATAATGGTATTGACCGAAAATTATTTAAAGACACATTGCCGAGAATAATGTCGTTATTAACTTTTCGTAAAACTGTAACTGCTGTATCGGACGTAAGCAACCATGAGAAAAGAACACTACCTTAACGGCAGACTACGTTTTAGGTATTTTAACTGTCAGCAGTAATGTTTGGAGCAAGTGAAAAAAAAGGAAAAGAAAGACAAAAAAGTTGTAGCTAAAGGTGGTGAATAGTGCACATATTCCAAGAAAAGTGTTTGTGGTTTACGTGACTTATCTGCATGAAGTGGTATTACGATAAGCACTGAACGAAAACAGTCGATATTCGGAAGTAACGGATTTTGTTGGTAACAAACCTCGGATAAAGCTCGATTTACAAACGTATACACCTCCGTTTATTTTGCACTACATCGCGCTTAACAACTTTAATGGCTACAAAAAGAACTGAAGAGAGAGGAAGAGAGAGAGAAGAGAGAGAGAGTGAGAGGAGAAAGAGAGAGAGAGAAGAGAGGAGAGAGGAGGAGAGGAGAGAGAGGAGAGAGAGGGGAGAGAGGAGGAGAGAGAGGAGAGAGAGAGGAAGAGAGGAGAGAGAGAGGAGAGGAGAGAGGAGAGAAGAGAGAGAGGAGAGAGAGGAGGAGAGAGAGAGGAGAGAGAAGAGAGAGAGAGAGGAAGAGAGAGATGAGGAGAGAGCAGGAGAGAGAGAGGAGAGAGAGAGAGGAGAAAGAAGAGAGAGAGAGGAGAGGAGGAGGAGAAGAGAGGGAAGAGAGAGAGGAGGAGAAGAGAGAGAGGATGAGAGAGAGAGTGAGAGAGAGTGGGAGAGAGGTAGAGAGCGGAGAGAGAGAGAGGAGGAGAGAGGACTAGAGAGAGAGAGGAGATAGGAGAGAGAGGGAGATGGAGAAGAGAGGAGAGGAGAGAGGAGAGAGAGAGGAGAGGAGAGGAGAGAGAGAGAGAGGAGAGGAGAGAGAGAGAGCGAGTGAGAGGAGAGAGGAGAGAGAGAAGAGGCGAAGGGGAGAGGGAGAGGGAGATATAGAGAGTGCGCAGAT